AAAAAAAAAAAAAAGGTTCAAGAAAAATTTAAATAAAAGATACTGGAATTTTTCTATGAAAATTTTCAAGCCCTTTTATATTAACTTTACATCACAACCACAAATATATTTTTATTATGAAATAAAATCATAAAATTCATAGTTTTAATGGTTGCCTACTTACTTGATTGTAACCTCCTTAAAAGCAAGGATTGTTTTTTTCAAGCCTGTATTCCCAGACTCTCACTCAGTACACACTTAAAAATGTGTTGAATGATCTCCAAGTTACAGAATTACTTTTTCTAACAAAAGAAAATTTCACTTAATAAAGAATAATAAACATGTTACATACCACTAATATTGAGGTCATAATCTCCCGCTGTAATCACATTAGCTACTAATCCTTCTGCAGGTTGACTGCCAGAAACAACATCATTCAAAAGCTTCCGAATAGCTCCAGGCTGAGGTGGCTGGGTGACAATGTTGCTTACCACTATCTTCAAATTTTTAATTATATGAAGTTGATTATTTGGATCTCTCATGTGAACTTTAAAAAAGGAAAATAAAAAATTCTGAAATTAATTTTACACAACACATAACATTTCAATAGCTGTCACTTTGACATACTGTGGTGGCTTGCGTGTTGCTGTGATGCTGGAAACTATGCCACTGGTATTTTAAATACCAGCATGGTCACCCATGGTGGACAAGTTTCATCTGCGTTTCCAGACTGAAACAGACTAGGAAAAAGGAAAGGCACACTACTGCTGAATGTTTAGCCACTGAATACCTTACGTATAGCAGTGAAACACTGCTAGATAGCACCAGAACACTGAATGCTGAAACATGAGCACCAGAATATCGTCAGATACACTGTCAGAAAAATGAGCACCTCACATTGGAAGGCATTCAAAATGTGACTGGGGAAGAGCCGCTTCCTCAAAGTAGAGTTGATCGTGATGATGTGAATGGAATGAAGATTTCAGGAGCTTGACTTGCTGATGGGGCACAATTCAAAATGAGGAGACAGCTGTAAACATCCATTAATCAGAATATGTACTGAATTAAGTATGAATCTATAAAAACTGGAAATTGTTAAAAATGAAATGGAATGTACAAAGATAGCTATCCTTGGAATTAGTGAGCATTCAGGACTGGTACTGGCCATACTTAATCTGACAATCATTATGGTTTACTATGCCTGGAATGACAAATTGGAGAGGAATGGCATCGCACTCATCAGCAAAAGGAACATTAAAAAAATAAATAAATAAAAACTGTTAACAGTGACTAAAAACATTAGGTTAATGGTTTACAAACCAAAAAGATGCTCAAATCAAAACAGAAAATTCAAAGTGAACCATTCTTCTGGAAATACAACTGATTTTCCACATTCTCTTATATAACAAAAGGGCTAGCTAGATGGCATATTAAACAAGATTTGCATCTTCTCCCTAAATGCTACACAATTTTCCTACAGTAGATACTTTCTTCCTCCTTTGTCTGGAGTTGCCAGAAACCAACCACCATCCATTCAAAGTCTCTAATTCACACCTCACCCTAAAACGGTCAAGAACGGTATAGTCTGTGGTGTCAGCACTCAAGATAGTAAAAGGCAAAGAAATTGGAATTACATGCTACATGCTAGCTTCCTTCTGCTTCTCCTTGGCTCCTATTTCATTATCATAAAAATGAATGCTCAGATTCCTCTTACCACTACAATTCTCCCTGCCTCCACTCTGCAAAGAGCTCTGGTGCTCCAGGGGTTTATGAGACTACCTGCTAACTTGAAAGGTCAATAGTTCAAATCCACCAGCCATTCAATGGGAGAAAGATATGGAAACTTGGAAATCCTATAGGACAGTTCTACTCTGTCCTGTAGGGTTGCTATGAGTGAAAATCCACTAGGTGACCCCAGGTTTAGTTTGGTTTTTGGTTTTATATAGTTTCACTCCTGGAAAACCCTATACAGGATTGCTATGAGTCAAAACCTATTCAACAGCATTTATCAATAACATATAGTCTTTAAGGGGTTTTGGTGGCATAGTGGATTAAGCACTGGGCTGCTAACTGCAAAGCTGGCAATTCAAACCCACCAACTACTGCACAAAGAAGATGAGGCTGCCTGCTCCCATAAAGATTAACAGTCTCTTAAACCCTACGGAGCTATTTTATTCTGTCCTGCAGGGTTGCTATGAGTCAGAATCAACTCCCTGACAGTGGGTTTGGGTTTTATATAATAGTCTGTGCCTCAGGCTTCAAGCCAAAAAATTGGTTCTCATGTGATTGTAACAAGAGAGTGCCCATAGTTCACAGTAAGAAACTTGAGCACATTTTCTTAGACGAGATTATTAATATTTATAGTAGCACTAGAAGAGGTTCAATACAAAGATTAAGAGCCCAGCTTTTAGACTAAGACCTTAAGTTAAATCTCAACCCACCACTTATTAACTGAGTTTTCCTGAGCAACTTATTAACTTTCCTGTGCTTCAATGTCCTTTGAATAATGCCTACTTGATGGAATTATTTTAAGGATTACATGAGATAGTAAATGTAAAGCACAGAGCACCATGTCTGACATACATAATTATACAATTAAGTCTTCAATAAGTGATGGAGGCAGCTATTAAGCACAACAACCTATTTCAAGTACATTATGGATTATCAAGCAGTTCATAGAAAAATGGAATTAAAAAGTAATTTTTCCACAAACCATTTGAAGTATCTACATTTAAATAAAAGGCACCTTTGGAAAACTGGTTTTGGGTACTTTACCATCAAAAATGGCATTTGAAAAAAACCAAAACAGTGAATAATGTTTTATACCAAGGAGCTCTGGTAGCGTAGTGGTTACGAATCGGGCTGTGAACTGCAAGGTCAGCAGTTCGAAACTACCAGCTGTTCCGCAGGAGAAAGATGAGGCGTTCTGCTCCCGTAAAAATTTACAGCCTCAGAAACCCTATGCAGGGTCGCTATAAGTCGGAACCAACTCCATGGCACATAACAACAATGTTTTATACCAAACAGTGAGTTTTCCTGTTTAGGTCTGCCTATATTTTAAATAAGTGTACATCCAGGAAGACTGTCTTTCAAAATTTCCTGTGTTCCCTCTGCTGACTTCTTAAATTTAAATTAAAAAACATTAAGACTCAAAAATACTTTAAAGTACTATATATACTGTAAGGCGTACAGTTAGCACTGTAGAATAAGGACTAGACTGATAACCACAAGGTACACAGTTCAAGCCCACAACCTGCTCTGTGAGAGAAAGATGAGGCTTTGTGAGATTATAAGGATTTACAGTCCTGAAAACCCTAAACAGGATCACTAAGAGTTAAAATCAATCTGATGGTAGTGCATAATGTACACTATGAATATGTGCAGCTGTAAATATAAAGGAGCCCTGGTGGCACAATGGTTAAGCACTGAGCTGCTAATAGAAAGGCAGGTGGTTTGACCTCACCAGGTGCTTCCTATAGAGAAAGATGTAGCAGTCTGCTTCCATAAAGATTGCCTCAATGGGCTCAACCATGGGACAGACTGTGAAAATGGCAGAACCAGGCAGTATTTCATTCTGTTGTACATGGTTTCCTGTAATCAGAATACAACAGCACCTAACAACAATGTGAGTGGGGTTTTTTGTGTGTGTGTATGTATACAGGAGCTTCAAAATTTTCATGGAAAATTAGAATGAAAAGGTAATGGCATTTTCCAACAAATTTTCAAAGCCCCCTTATATATTGCAACTACCTGTTAACTTGATATAATGTAACTTTTAAAATGTGTCTAAGGAACCTATGATGCCTAATATATCAAATCTAAATGCCTTTTCAAAACCCTACATGTGAATGGTACTCAAATTTTTTCTATTAACTCTGTCTTCAGTACAACTTTAAATCATGTGTTTTTCTACTGAAACCTACAAATAAATCTCATGAAAATGTTTGACAGACCACACTGTTATCTAAGTAGTCAAAGCAAGATTGATCACAAATAACAGTATACCTGCAGGACAGAAAAAGAGTGGTCATTTTTTAAAAGATTCCTTTCTTATTCTAAGGATATTTTTATCTGTTTTAGTTAGTCATATTGACAACTATAGAGTGCAGTAGCATGTGGCGCTGCAGTACTGGACCGCAAGGTCAGTTTGATTCTCAGGGTTAGCAGTTCAAACCCACCAACTGCTTCTTGGGAATCCTATGCAGGGTCACTGATTTGGAACTGACTCCACAACATCTAACAACAATTGTCAGCTACACTGCCTGAAGTCATTTCCGCATGCTTCATTACCTACAGAAAAGCTATCTTTGAAGAATCCCTATACTTGAGTAAAATAAAATAAAATTTTTTTTAATCAGGCTTATCTGAAAAGTAAAAGCTCTAGAATTTATTTACCAGCAAAAAGTTAAACCACAGAAAAATGAAATCCTTTTTGCCCTATTACTAATGCCTAGTTCATGCCCTAATCATCTCAAACTTTAAATTTTACAATATCAACTCCTTGTTACTTTTGTTAAGTGCTGTCAAGTCAATTCTGACTCATAGTGACCCTGTATAGGGTTTCCAAAGAGTGGCTGGTGGGTTTGAACCACCAACTTTTCAGTTAGCAGTCCAGTGCTTATCCTACAGAGCCACACCAGTAATCCATATCCATCCATAATTTCACAACTCAATCTCTTCGTATTTCATACCCTTGTTCAACAATCTATGACTTCCATCTATGATGTTATTGTTATGTGCCGTGGAGTCAGTTCCAACCCATAGTGACCCTGCACAGGGTTTCCAAGGATGTAAATCTTTACGGGATCAGAATGCCTCATCTTTCTCCCGCTGAACAGCTGGTAGTTTCGAAATGCTGACCTTGAGGTTCGCAGCCCGATTCGTAACCACTACGCTACCAGAGCACCCTTCCATCTATGAAGGGGCTTCAAAAAATTCCTAAAAAATGGAATTAAAGATAATAAATGGTTTTTTTCCACTTACTTTTTTGAAGCCCCATCTTATAATTGTGATATAAATACAAAATACATATATTTCAAAGATTCAGCACAACAAAAAAAAAGTAAAATGGCTCACCAAATGTTTTATACTGTTTATTTATTTATACATTGTAGTGTTAATATTTTGGAAATATTGGATTAACTATTATTATTAAAATTAACATTTCCTGTTTCATTTGTGTTTTAATGTGACTACCTTAAAATTTTGGGAGTCCAGGTATGGCACTGTGGGTTAATGCACCAGACTGCAAAGCCATTTGAACCAGCTGCTCCTCAGAAACCCTATACAGGGTTGCTATGGGTCGGAATTGACTTAAAATTTTCAAAATTTTTAAATTTTAAAACAACCACCTTAAAATTTTGAACTATAAATAACTCACATTATATTTCTATTGGACAGAGATACTTTATAGCATAAATAAGCAATTCTAAATATTGAAAGATCATATGAAATAGCAATTAAGAACAATGTCTAGAGTCACAATGTTTGTTTTGAAATCTTTCCCAAACGTTAAGTCTTTGGACAACATCTCTATGTCCTCATATAAAATGGTGATAACAGTATCCACCTCCCTGACTTCACTCTGGACTAAAAGAGAAAATCCACATAAAGCAGGTATCAGGGCTTAACATTACCATTCTTTATTAGCAAAGGTGGAAAAAGTGAGCACAGTAAAATCAAACTGGGTCCCCATTGTTGTTTGGGTTTAAGAATTTAGGGCATTTTGTTCTTTTTGATTTAGTACAACACCAAAGGAGATGAGCTGGATGGCTGGGGAAAAACCCCAAGAGTTCCCTAAATTCATCTTTTGGACAGCTCCCTCTCTCCATTTAATACAAGAAGCAAGGCTACGATGAGGCTATTCGCCCAAAAAGCATTTGTGCTATGTAGCAAGTACATGAATTTATTGTACAATATTGGTTTTTTGGAGAAGGCATCATAACCAAATAACCATCATAATCATTCCCTTGACACAGCTCTATTATAAAACCCTTAATGTATAGCTGGAGTCCTAGTGTGGCACTGTGGGTTAATGCGCTGCACTGCAAAGTTGGTTTATGAGTTCGAACTGACTCGATGGCACTTAACAACAATAATGTATACACAGAGTCCTAGTGTGGCTCTGTGGGTTAATGAGCTGGACAGCAAATTCGGTTAGAAGAACTAGAAGGTCGGCGGTTCAAGCTCACCAGCCGCTCCTTGGAACCCCTATACAGGGCTGTACTTGCATCTTGCTATACTTTTACATCACACTTTAGTTGTGAACTCTACCTTCCATCTTACATTCATTTTTCCCTATTAGAATATCTAAACCAGGTAGCTCCTGAATAAAAGAAACATTTCTCCCACTGGGGGGAAAAGAAAAAAAAAGTTGAACTCTGAAGTGAAAAAAAAATCAAACGTCAGGATTCTTCACTCTTTTTACGCCCACTAAAATTTGTACAACTTCTCATCTATGTGGTGGCTCACCTATGAGCCACAACTGTTAGGTCTGATTATCTAATACTTTATTTTCTTGAAAGCTTAATTAAGCACGATAGCAAAGTGTTTAAATTTTCAAAAATGTAAAATAAATAAACATTAGTTTCGTCAAAGAGATGAGGATGCGTCTCGCTGCTAGAATGTAATACTCAAGACGATTTTGAACGTCAGCTTTAACACTTAGTGAAGATGACACGTTTTCTTTACTAAGGGAGGCAGCATCTTCCTAATTCGCTCCCATGGCCGTTAGGACTAATCAATCCTAACGCCTTTCTCTGGGACTCACGTTCTTTACACTAAATTAGTTAACACACCCCGAACGGTCGGAAGAGAAGGAAAAAGTGTCTGGAGAAACTATAGGTTAGGAAAGACCGCGCTGTCTTGACAACTTCAACCATGGCCCCTCCTCCAGTCACCACCTAAGACACTGGGGCCCCAACTCCAGACGCCACTCAACCGGCTCCGGGATGTAAACATCACCCTCTTCCCTGTCCGCTCCCAACTTCCTTCTCCCATGACGGCTTTACTCGGGCTGGCCCCGCAAGAAAAGGGGACGACCACCTACCCTCGGAAGTGAGGCGAGAGAAGGGTTTAAGCAGTTCTGCGAAGCTAAGGTGATTGCGACGAGTGAGCCGCTCAGCTTCGTCGCTACACAGTGCGGCGACGGAGGGGACGAATGAGTCCGGGATTAGCTCCTGCACTGACTGTACACACTGGGCCATTGCCGCGACAGGCGCAGTGGAGGCGCCCGCCCTCCGGCCCACCCTCGGAGGCTGATCCTGAGGCTGCAGCAGAACCGCCGCCGCCCGCCGGTCTGGCCCGGCCGGGCGGGGCTCCGCACTGAAGCCTGGAGACGAGTAGAAGGAACAGACGCCGCCTCGGCTTCCCGAGCACACACCACCAAACGCCCCGTCACCGCCGCTCCTTAGCGCTCGTCCTGGCGCCCTCGCATTCCACCTCAGTAGGTGGAGACGCCGACAGTCGCCACTTAATCCTCCCGACGGCAAAACCTTGGTCACTGCCCGACAGGAACGGCCATGTTGAGTCCAAACCCAGACCGACCGGCAGTACTACTCCCGGCAGCCCCCGCGGTCGCCCCTCACGTGACTATGTTACGGAGGGAAAAGAGAACCGAGACTAAGGAGGTGGAGCGCGACGGAGGCCGGTTGGGAAGCTGGATCCGGAAGTAGTATGACAGGGGGCAGAGAAAGGGTGGGGCTGGGGCGGGGCTAAAAGGGCGGTAGGAGGGTTCTGGGTGCGGAGGCACGCGACTTTGAGGCAGAGCTCTTTAAGGTCTTAGGCTAAAGCCAGTGAGGCGCGACCGATGAGTCATGACCTGCTGGACAGACAGTCTGGAGATATGTGCTGTGACAGTGGTGCAGGCGCTCGCCTTCCACACGGACCCGGCCTATTTGGAGCTCCAAATGCTCTCTCTGGCTGCAGTGATCCACCTGCCCTCTCGCCCTGTACTTACCTGGTTTACTAGTGGAGTGATTTGACACCGATTCACCGAGAGGGTGTGCCGCCCGCCGGGTGCTTTGGGGTTTCACCGAAGCTGGCCTGCACAACCCATGCGTCATTTGAACAGACTCAGCGTTTTAGATACAGACTTTTAACAAATGTGAAATCAGCAAGTGAGCAGCAAGGTGTTCTGTTGTGGGTGCTGGAATTAAACGCGTATTTAAGAGAACACTCCTGCGCTACTTGGTGTTTGCTATTAGCCTCCTTATTGATACAAAGCCTCTCTTTTACATTTGACTAGTGTTTGATACTAAAGGAGCTCTGGTAGCGTAGTGGTTATGAATTGGGCTGCGAACCTTAAGGTCAGCGGTTCGAAACTACCAGCTGCTCCGCGGGAGAAAGATGAGGCTTTCTACTCCCGTAAAGATTTACACCCTCGGAAACCCTATACAGGGTCGCTATGGGTCGGAACCGACTTGATGGCACATAACAACAACAGTGTTTGATCCTACTGATGGAGTTAATCATAGTAATTACCTAGGCTTCCTTTCCTTTTTTATGGATAGTTCCTATAATTAGGTAGAAATTAATGAAGTTTTACTGTAGTGTCACTCCATTTTTTAAATTCTTTCTGATTTATAGGTCAAAAATATAATACAAGGGGAAATGCAAGCATTGATCATGGTTTTATATGCCTTGATTAAAGGAGGTCCCCAGTATCAGTCTCTCAAATTGTCCCATCCATTAGCACTCTGAGATTTATACCACGGTAAGAATTCATGACAGTTGACAAGAATGCCTTTCTTTTTAAAACCTGAAAATGAAACATGGGAAAGTGCAACAGGCAGTGTGGTGACAATGAGTCTTTACCTTGGATGAAGTTGGAAACTATAGCATCCATGAGTTGAAGATCTGTAAATTCTTTTCCTTAAAACTATCTGTGCCTGGAAACAACAAATCAAAGACAGAAACGTGTATACCAGAGTTCATTACAGCATTGTGCACCATAGCCAAAAGGTAGAAACAACTTGAATGTCCATCAAAACATAAATGAATAAACAAAATATGGTATATACAAAATACATACAATGAAGTATTATTCAGCTGTAAAGAGAAATGAAGTTCTGATGTATACTACCACACTGATGAAACATTATCCTATATTAATGAAACCAGACACAAAAGGCCACATATTGTATAATCTCTGGTATATGAAATAAGTATCTAGAATAGATAAACCCACTGAAACAAAAGATTTGTGGATACCAAGAGATAAATGAAAGGATTTTTATTGTTGTTGTTTTAAGGGGATTGGGAAGCATGTGCTAAAAAGGACGATTACCAAACCAAGCCCACTGCCATAGAGTAAATTCCAACTCATAGCATCCTAATAGGACAAAATGGAACTATTTTGCATCTCCATGACTTTATAGGAGCAGACAGCCTCAACTTTCTCCTGTGGAGCAGCTAGTAGATTTGAATCTTCAACCCTGTGGTTAGCTGTCCAATGCTTACCCCTTTGTGCCACCAGCAAGGTCGGTGGTTCAAGCTCACCAGCTGCTCCTCAGAATCCCTGTACAGATTTGCTATGTGTTGGAACCAACTTGATAGTATATCACAAAGTTGTACAACCATTACTACTATCTAATTTCAGAACATTCTCATTAGCCCACAAAGAACCCTGGTACTCATCAGCAGTCACTCTGTACCTCCCCACACTCCTCCCACCCCCTGCAAACACCAATCTACTTTCTGTCCATAGATTTTGCCTGTTCTGGACATTTCATATCCATGGAGTCATGGATGGCCTTTTAAACTTGGCTTCTTTCACTTAGGATAATATTCTCAATGTTCACCCATGTGGTAGCCAGAATCAGTACTTCATTTTTTGTTGTAGTTGAGTCTAAATGGGTTTTTTGTCTTATTCATTGATTTTATAATCTAGTACCACATCCATGTATATAGCATTTCCAGTGAGTAACTCCACTATAATTTTTTTTTTTTTCTTTCCTTGTCTGTCTTGAAGCTTTTTAAACTATCGAGACTCCCTTGAAGGAGATGACATTTACTGGTAACCATATTAGTAGGTAGTCCTGGTGTGGCAATGTGGGTTAATGCACCAGACTGCAGACCCTTTGAACTGCAAGGTCAGCAGTTCAAGCTTACCAGCTGCTCCTTGGAAACTCTATACAAAGTCACTATGGGTCTGAACCAACTTGATGGCACTTAACAACATAGTAGTAGACCTACTAGAGAGATTTCTTTCAACTTCAAAATAAAAACTAAATTTATGTAAGTATGGCACTGTAGGCTAAGTACTGGACTGCTAACCACAAGGTCAGTGGTTCAAACCCTCCAGCCCCTCCCTTGGAAACCCTATATGGTTGCTATAAGTTGGAAAAGGGATTTGAACCTCCAACTCTATGATTAGCAGCCCAATGCTTACCCCACTGGACCACACTTATATAAATTTAATCTTTATTTTGAAGTTGAAAAGTATCTATCTAATAAGTCTACTACTATGGTTACTACTATGGCTCTCAACAGCAAGAAGCAAAGAAGGGAAGTTAATGGTTCATGTAAGGGAAGGAAAGAATGAGATAAACTCACAGGAAAAAAGATAGAATAAGAGTTTCAAGGACTAGAATCTAGCACTTTCTATCTGTCTGTCAATTCTAATTCTTTGGTTTCATTCTTTGGGGAGCATCTCTCCACATGGCAGGATCTGTCCATAGCTCCAGATTAATCCTCAGCTAAACAAGCCAAGTAGAAAGTTTTCCAGCATCAGTATTTCATTCCCAGGAAAGTCCTGTGATTTGTCCTGATTATGTCACATTCTTTTCCCTAAACATATCAATTTATAGGTGACAAACAATTTTACTTCTCCTGGAACCCAAATTTCTGGGTTCAAGAGATGGGGTCTTAGTGTGGCACTGTAGGATAAACACTGGACTACTAACTGAAAGGTTAGCAGTTCAAACTCACCAGCCCTCAGAAAACGCTATACAGGGTCACTATGAGTCAGAACTAACTTGGCAGAACTTAACAACAAGAGATAGGGTGACCTACTCAACCGTCTGCCTTTAGGTGTCCTTTGGCACCTTGAACTTTAAGGACCCATTTTCCTAAAGTTTGACCTTCAAGTCAAGCAACAGTATAGTAAGCAGCTTAGTGGAGATAGTTTGGCCATAGGCAATGAGCTCCTTTAGAGAATTATACATGTGCAGCCAGTTTTGAGGAGCAGGAACCAGAGGGTCTAATTGGAAAATATATAGCATATCCTTAATGACTCTCTTTCTCCAATCCACTGACCCTGGAACCCTGTATGTGTTCTGAGATCTCTGAGATCTCTGTTATTGTTGTTGTTAAATTCTATGATTAGCAGCTGAATACTGATCCACAGCACCACACCTGATAAATTAACATCACGGTGATTTATGTTAACTCTTTAACCCATTTTTATTGTCTCTTCTTCAGAGTGCCTTCTCAAAAGATCCCAGTTAACACTGCCTGATTTGAATCATGTATTACATTCTGTTACACAATATAATCAATAATATATTCTGTTACACCAATTTTTTTTTTATGTTTTTGTGCACATTTAGGTTTTTTACACTGGGGGACAGGCAATATTACTGGTCAGGCATGGGTTATATTTCCATCCCTGTAGGCAGGATGGACAAACTTTGTCTCTCATACTTTGGACATATTGTCAGGAGGGACCAGTCGCTTGAGAAGGAAATCATGTTTGGTGAGGTGGAGGTCAGAGAAAAAGAGGAAGACCCCCAGCGAGATGGATTGGCCAAGTGGCAGTATCGATGGACTCAAGCGTTGCAACAGTAGTGAGGTTGGCCCAGGGCCAGCAATGTTTCCTTCTGTTGTGCATAGGGTTGCTATGAGTCATTACCGACTTGATGGCACCTAACAACAATAACTATTTCCCTTTTAAACTTAAAAATATATCAATTTCCTACCCAAAGACTGAAAAGCAAAAATTATATCCATTCACCTCTCCCAGCTCCAAACCCAGTATCTCCTGATGGTATGTGATCAGGTTTGCACATGGTCCTTCACGGTCCTGCTTTGCTGCTGTTAAGTACCATCCATCAGTTCCAACTCATATTGACCAAAACCTGTCCAGTCCCGCACCATCCTCACAATTGCTGTGACGTTTGAGCCCATTGCTGCTATCACTGTATCAAGCCATCTCCTTGAGGTACTTCCTCTTTTTTTCTGACCCTCCACTTAACCCAGCATGAGATCCTTCTCCAGGAACTGGTCCCTTCTATTAACATGTCTG